GCCAACCCCCTGCCATGGGCAGGGACACCTCCTAACACTGGCTTGCTCCAAGCCCCATCCAACCTGCCCTTCAACACTGCCAGGGATGGGGCAGCCACAGCTTCTCTGGGCAACCTGGGCCAGGGTCTCACCTCCCTCACAGTAAAGGATTTCTTCCCAATGTCTCACCTAAATCTCCCTCTTCCAGTTGAAAGCCATTTTCCCTTGTCCCATTGATCCCTGCCCTTGTCCCAAGTCCCTCCCCAGCTTTCCTGGAGCCCCTTCAGGCACTGGAAGGTGCTCTAAGGTCTCCCAGAGCCTTCTCTTCTCCAGGCTGAACAACATACCCCTCCATACGTGATGTTTCTATGGGAGGATGCTCTCATGATGTGGCAGGGATGCCTGCACCAGGCCTGCTCCTCCTCCCCTGCAGGCACCGCATGGGCTCTTGTGCAAGGCTGAGGCGAAGCCCATAAATTCAAGGATGGGCTCACAGCAGCCTGGCTTTACATCCCTTAATGGGATATAATTCCACCTTAATGGTGGAATAGTGTCCAAGCTTTGCCGGGGTGAAATCAAATTCAGGCCCTGCCAGGGTGAAATAGTGCCAGGCTTTGCCAGGAGAGCTGTGTGCGGGAGGTGCGTGAGCTGTGGCCGTTCCTCTGCTGGCTGGCAGGGCTGGGGGGAGAGGCAGAGGCACAAATAGTTTCATTTTTTCCCCTGAGTGTTCCTTGAAAAAACAATTTGGGCTTTGTTGCTGAAGTCACAACAACAGCAGCTTGACTTCTTTCGGATCAGGGAGCTTTCAAAGGGCCCTTTCTGCCAAAGCCAGTCCCCCCCCTCCAATTGTTTGCTTCCCTGGTAATAGTCTGGGGGGGTAGAACCAGCAAACAACCCTTCTTGCCCCATAAATACTTTGTGGGGAGAGAGAAAGCTGCAGTGAGTAGTTAAAATGTTCTGATATGTGGGATTTGGCACATGTATGCAGGAGCTAACAAGTTTTTTCTCATCATAGTGTCAGGCTCTCATGGTGCCATAGAAGGAGAATTGAGAGGAGCATTTTAATACACTCTAACTAACCTCTTTGTAAGGGAGGATGGGAAGGAAAGGCTTTACTGCCCTTCTAGAGAAGAAGCATGTAGTTCTTTCCTTGCTCCATCTCCAAAACAAGCCCAGGCAGTAGCTCTCTGAGCAAAAAAAAAATGACAAACCCAAAGCATACGCAAAACACAACACAACAAAAATAGTTTGACATTGAAGACAGGATTACATGGAGTTGGGGCAAACTGAGGTGAACCTCCTTTCTTTCCAAGGGTTTCATGTCTGCTTTTTGTCTGCCCTTTTCAGGCAAAAAGGGTCTGTTTACTCTTGCTAAGTAACCTATGAAACACAGTACTCCATGACCTGCTCCTCCATTTCTAGATGTCTTGCTTTTCACCTCCCTGCTCTCAGGATAAGTATTGCTTCATCAGCATAAATGTTCCGACTGACAGTCTTAAATGCCTTTTAAATGTCTGCTTATTTCCCTCCTAATCCTCTGGAGAGCTGGAATTCATACCCTGTGGTTTGTAGGGTTTGTGGGTTGCCCATGGGGGCGCCTGTGCTCAAGGCCCCCCATGGTGGATGAGGACCATAATGTGCAGACCTTGCAGGGCAAGCTTCCAAATTGGGCATTTCTGGCTTGTTCCAACCCGTGAGCATCTCCATCAGCTGGTAGTAGTGTGGTACTCTCTGCTGCTGGCCCTGCCCTGGTGCCGTGAGACCTCCAGCTGCAGGTGGTGGTGGATGGTGTCCCCACCACTGAGGGTCACACCTGCTTCCTTCACCCACTTCTGGCCCCAAACCACAGTTTTTAAAGCTGATCTGGTTTAAGTGCCTTTGCTTTTGAGACCAAGTTACTTGTAGGACTGTAATAAGAGGTGTTGAAGTGAGTAGTCCTTTGTGGGGGTACCTAAGGAGGGAGGTATTTCCCTTCTCGACATTTCATGGTTTCTTCTCTGTTCATGTGCAGAAGAGACTTTTCCAAGTTTGGCTAATCCATACACTTTGATGGTTTTGCTCTACTAAGGGGAGGCAGATGTCCTTAGACAGTATTGATGAGTTTGAGTCTCTCCCTAAGCCCCCACCACCCCAAAGCTGTCCTGCGGAAGCACTTAATGTTGCTTTGGTCAGCAGATGATGGTGGGCCAGCAGGCAGAGGAGCCATACTCAGCCATTCCTCTACAGAAGTGCCTCCTTCTGAACTTCCCTGGTGATCACAGCATTCTCCTCTGAAGTGGTGCACCCATCATGGTGGGACATCTGTCTTGGCAGTCTCTGTGCCATGGGAGAATTTCTCCTTCTGTGCTGAAGATCTTTTTCCTAATGCTCTGTAAAATCAGCTAGAAAGCAAAGAGTGAGCTTCAGTGCTTTAATTCCCATTTCTGTCCTCTCCAGCTTCTGTCCTGCTGGCACAAGGCTGGTGCTGTCAGCAGAGGCTCCTTCACCTTTAATCTGTCCAGTGAAATCCCACCCTTTGGCTGATGATGGGAATAGACTGTGGTGGGAATGCTGCTATAGGATGCATTTTAGTTTTGTGAGGAGTTGTGGCAGGTTGTCCCTTGATTTGGTGGCTGCTGGAGGTTTGCTTTGAATGCAGAGCAAGTTCTTTCATCCAGAACAAACAGTCTCCACCTTGTCAACCCAATGGATGAAGCTGTCTCTTTTTCACTCTGCTCTGTTGACTTGGAGCAGTTCAGTGAGGAGATCCTGGGGTCCATCACCAAACAGGGCTGTTTGGGAAGAGCCACCCCATGGATCTTAGGCATGCTTCATAAAACTGCTACATTAGAAGCTCCTTGGTTAGGAAATGGGAAGGCTGCCATGAGCAGGGGATCCCTTTGGAACCCCTGCCACAAGCACAGGTCAGAAGTGTGGCTCTGAAGCACACTGAGCCTTTTGAGGAATCTCCAAGAACTGGGTTAATAAAGAGTTCCTGCCATGTCAGGAACAAGCTGCATCTCATCTACATTGAGACTAATTGTCCCTAATGAGACTTGGGCTGCTCACTTGCAGCAAACTATTTCTAGGCACACAAGCTTGTGAGCTCCTGTTTCTGCTGTAGCAGATGATGCTTTTGGAGATTGTGTTGGGTCTGAGAGTGTTAGTTTTGGTTTTGGCTGTGGAATAAGCAAATATGTGCCAGGAGATGCAGTTCCTAGTGGGATGGAGGGGCTGTCAAGTGCCCTGGGCATTTAATTTTAAAACAAAATGGGGCCTTTTGTCATTATGTTATAATGATACCACACAGATGATGAGGCTACCCAAGTGCACTGACTAGGGTTGCTTGTTGCTTATTTTGCTGTGCTAGAGGATTTGGACTAATCTGACATAATAAGGTAGCATATGTATAGTTAAAGAAGTTAAAGTTTATTAAGATCAAAATAGTTGAGGCCTAGTGAACACAAAGCTAGTTTTAAAGAGTCAAGGGCTTAATTTGTAGCTAATAGGCAGTTAAAATATCATTTTATTAGGTTTGTGTCTAACAGCCCCACTCTGCAGTAACCCAAACCTGTATTTACTCAAGTCTACATCCAATTTAGGATACTCAGCTTCTGTGAGAATGGCTGACATGATGAATGCAGCACTGCTGGAATAAGGAAGGCTCCTCTCCCTCTTCTCTGCCCTGGTGAGACCCCACCTGGAGTATTGTGTCTAGTTCTGGGCTCCCCAGTTAAAGAGGGTCAGGGATTTACTTCAGGTCCAAAGGAGGCTACGAGGACGATGAAGGGACTGGAACACCTGTCTGATAAGGAGAGGCTGAGAGACCTGGGGCTGTTTATTCTGCAGATGAGAAGGCTGAGAGGGAGTCCTATTAATTTTTGCAAATATCTGAAGGGTGGGTGGCAAGAAGGAATGGCCAATCTCTTTTCAGTCATGCCCTATGTTAGAATGAGGGGCAATGGATGCAAGCTAGAGCACAGGAAGCTCCACCTCAACATGAGGAAGAACTTCTTTACTGCGAGGGTTACAGAGCCCTGGGACAGGCTGCCCAGAGAGGCTGTGGAGTCTCCTTCTCTGGAGACTTTTGAGACCTGTCTGGATGCCTTTCTGAGTGATCCACCCTGCACTCTGTGCTGGTCCTGCTCTGGCAGTGGGGTTGGACTTGATGATCTCCAGAGGTCCCTTCCAACCCCCACCATTCTGTGTTTCTGTGCAACAAACCCATTCTTGGTTAAGATGATGGAAGAATTATTCTATTATAATTGCCAAATGCAGGTACTCAAGGTGTCAGGCCACACCACAGTCCATCAAGCTAACATTTTAAATGACACTTGGTCTGTGTTAGCCTCTTATTGACTTTGCAGCTTGGTACCATTTCAAGCTGTGAAGGAGAAGCTTCCTAAGGAGGTCAGCCTTGCTCTGCTTTAGCCTTAGCAATTTGCTGAGCTGGAAAGTTTAATTCCTGAACTTCCTTCTTATCTCACCAAACCCCAAACTTTTATCTTCTTCCACTCAAGCAAATCTATCTGGGCTCTTAAGTGACTTCAGATCCCTCTGACGACTTCTCCTGTATCTGTAGAAATGGATATTCATTAAAACGTTGAGCTGTCCAGCTGCAGTGAAGCTGACTGCTGTCACAGCACCACTGAAGAGCTGTTGTATTCGTTAGTGCCTTTCTCTTACCCCTTGGAGGTGGTTGGTGATTTAGTCTTGGTTATGATCAGTAAATTATCTGTATGCTGAAGAGCTGGTCTTGCTTTGGGTTGTGTTGAGAGGTTGTCCATGCTGTATGGATACAAATCTGTCAACCTGCATACAATGCTGAGAGTCCCTGATGGGCTCTGTGCCCAGCCAGCAAGAGGGTGCCACCTCTCATCTCTGGAGAATCAGGACTTTAAAACTACTTTTACCCTGTGCATGACATGTGGCAGCACATGTGAATGCATTTGGCCTGAGTGGAGAGGTGGGTGTTTGTTGGCTCTGGGGGTTTGTCCCAGATAAGTGATGCTGGCTTTGGTTTTGTTGTACTTGAAGGTGCCTCATCACCAGACATGGAGTCTGGCTATGGGGGAGGACTGTTGGATATGGTGAAAGGAGGAGCTGGGAGACTCTTCAGCAATTTGAAGGATAACCTGAAGGACACCCTGAAAGATACATCTTCAAAGGTCATGCAGTCTGTTGCCAGGTACAGTACAGCTCAAGGTGCCTAATGCAGGTGAAACCACTAGCTGCAAAGTACTGGTCTGAGCTGCCCTCTGAACTAGCCTAGCTCAACTACCTCCCTAAAGGAGGGAGGAGGTGAAAATCACCAGTGACTTCTTTGATTCTGTCTCATAATTGGTATTTTTGGCCTCATGGAAGCAGGAAAACAAAAAAAAAAAGCTGAACTTCACAGTAAGAGAGCATCAACATCCAGGGGCAGTGGAGCACTTGGTCTCCAACTCCTTCATTGACCCATGTGGGGTTCTCCTACTCAGCCACCACTAAAAGATTTTGTAAATTAAAATTGCCTCATGTTCTGTGCCTTCACCTTGCTGTGCAAGGAGACTCTTTTAGCTTGTGTAACTGTTCCCTTGGCTGTAGCCACCTTTTAAGGGGGAGAAGGAGCCAAGGTGACTTAGCTTTGGTGACCTCTGCTGGGGTTGACCCTGTGCTTGGCACTCCACCTGCCTCTGAGCCATATGGGGCTACAATAAATTAAAGACACTTAATTCAGGTGAGACCTCAGAGGCTTTGAGGGATCTGCAAAGTGGCAAACTGCTAGACATTTCCCCTGAAAACTAGCACTGAAAATTAATGACAAAAGTGACCTTTTTTTGCAAGCTTGTGCATCCAGTTAGTTGTGTGTGCAGAAGGCAGGCTGGGTCACTGGCTGCAGAAAGCTATTTGTGCCCTCTTCTGAAGGCAGAAAGAAAGTCCAAAGAACCAATTCACAAATAATTTTTCCTGCTGTCAAAAGCAGATCTAGGTGAGGGAAAATACTCTTCTCTTGGTTCCTGGAACAGGCTGTCTTCTATAAAGATGTGCACAATGTCTGTCTCCTACTTTGTCTTCTAGTTACACCAAGGGAGAGCTGGATATTTCCTACATTACCTCAAGAATCATAGGTAAGTGTTGTTTGTTGGATAAATAAACCCAGAATCTAGGAGCCCATGCACACGTGGTGGTGCAGGCTCAGCTCTGCTTCTCCTCCCATTTGCAGTGATGTCTTTTCCGGCTGAGGGTGTGGAGCTGGGCTTCAGGAACCACATCGAGGATGTCCGGACCTTCCTGGATTCCAGGCATCCTGACCACTACACTGTCTTCAACTTGTCACCCAAGTCCTATCGCAGTGCCAAGTTTCACAACCGGGTGAGTGTCCTCCCAGAGGTTAACAAGGGCAGGGGGTGGAACTTCTTGGCGGAAAAAGAGGCACCAAGGCCCTGCTTCAGTCTATCCTGAGCGTGGCAGAACGTAAGAAGATGAGAAAGGAATTGCAGGGGTCTCTAAGATGCTGTGGCTGTTTCTGGGTTTTAACTGATCCACCTGGGACCATGGGGATTAAAGAGCTGGAAAGTTCAGGGCATGATGCTGTGTTGGGAGCCTGTGGCCTTGTACTGAGTTGAGCCTGTGCTGCTCTGGGCTCCTGCAGAGCTATTAGAAGCTGCTGCAAACAAGTGAGGAGTAAAACAAAAGTTTTCAATGAAATTACCAAAAAAAGAAGGTAGATTATTTTCCTGTTGTGCTTTGAT